AAAAAACCCTTCTTTTTGAGCCTCTGTTATAGGGTCCCTCCCCTCCAAAAAAACCCTCTCCACTCCATGCCCACTATTTCCACCCTCTTCAAGTCACCAGTAGCAAGAGGGTTCCCTGCACTAGTAGTATAAAGAGATGTGGCTCTACAGAGCAGGCGGGCAGCACGCAACTGAGACCAGGGCCTCTCTCTGTCCCGTCCCCCATCCCTCCCCTCCTGCCATCCCATCAATTAAGTACGCTACACTTCAGAGGCATAAACACCAGACAGTTTGTGCCCTTTCATTTAACAGAGGAGACATGGTCAAGGTTGTTGCAGTACAAAAATAAACAGTGGCCTGCCTAAGGGCTCATAGTGAATTGAGCTTCCACACAGGCATGTTTAGGGTTTAAATGGCTTTGTCTCTGGTCAGTATGGTTTTTGGCCCTGAAAGGGACCACGCAACCTCTGGGAGGGGTGATTAAGTATGTTTATGAAAAAGTCTGACCCCTGCTACTGCCGTTATCTTGCAGTACAGGCAGAAATGGGGCATAGGCCCTGTGCTGACTGGAAAGTGCAGAACTTAGCATGGCTGCATTTATCCTTTAACTTTCTTTTATCACTCACTGGACATGAAGGAGCTTCATTTCTCCTTGGGTTCTGGGCAACTAGGACCAGGTGTTGATGCCATGGGCCAGGGGGCAGCAATCTAGGCAGACCAGATCTAGTCCACAAAGTCTGTACCACTCTACAGCAGCCACCACTTTGACTGTTTGGCTCCAGCTCCAGCTTGTGGCTGCCTTCTACCCACTCAGCCATCCAGTGTGATGAGAACCTACCTGCTGACGGCTGAGTGGGTGGAAGTCCGTCCCACTGGGAAGGTATGTGCTGGTCAGGGCCAGGGCCAAGACAGTGTCTTGGGTGGGCACAGATAGGAGAGCAGTGCAGACTGTCCTGGGCAGGAGCAGGTGGGGCTCCACCGCAGGTGGAGCACCACAGGGACAGCTGTGGGTAAGATGCAACCAATTGGTGGGATAGATCTGGCCCATGGGCCATATTTTGCCCACCCCTGCTCTAGCAGCTACTTCCTTGCTAGGATGGATATCCCCCCTATCAGGGGGCTTTTTCCAAGGCCACATAATAAGCCAGGAGCAAAGAACAGAAACTGGATGCTCTGGGAACATCTGCACATGCAGTTAATGAGAAGCAATAAACTCCGGAGCAGTTTGAGCTGGAGTACACTATATGTATACCCGGGACAGCAGTAATTTCAGCTGGGCAGAGCGGGCCTGGGCTGGCAGGGGGGAAAAGGGGTCAGTCCAGGTTCTGGGTAGCAGTGTCAGGTGGCAGAGGGGCTGGCTGGGGCATGAGGGTGTTGCTATGCAAGCTGTGTGGCTAGGTGGCAGGCAGGAGTCTGGCCACTGGCTGGCTAGGCTGACTGGGCACAATTTACACCTGCAGTCACTGTTTACATGTGTGTTTAATCGCAGTAAATTACTCTGCTGTAGGATAGGACTATCCCCCACAGTACTATCTTATGGCAGAGTTAATTAGTTTACTGGGGCCTAATGCCACCACATGTATAGATAGTGACACTTCACTACACAGCTAATTAGTTACTCTGCAGTAAAGCACACGTGTAGATGTATCTACGGATATGTCTACACATGCAATTAAATCACAGCAATAAACTCCAGCACATATTGCACTGGAGTTTGTTGCTCCTGGGCACCGCGTTTGAATGTGCGCTAGGGACTACAGCATATTAAGTTAGGTCAGAGCAGCCCTGGCTGGCAGGGGGCCGGGGGTCAGCCCGCCAGCCTAGCACTGCTTTGACCTGGCTCAGTATGCTGTGGAGGATCTGGCTGGGGCATAAGCGTACTTCAGTGCAGGCCCAGCTGGCAGGCAGCCCCTGCACTGGAGAATCATCGTGTCCCAGGCAGCCCCGTCAGCATCTACACATGCATTGCTGTGCAGTAAAACAATTCCGCCATAGGATAGTACTTGCGTTTGTAAGTACTGTCCTGTGGCCAAGTTAATTCGTTTACTCCATCCTAATAATACTGCGCATGTAGAAGCTGAGATGTTTACTGTGAAGCTAATTAGGCAACTCCATAGTAAACGTCTCATGTAGATGCACTACCCTGGGTATGAATGGAGAGAGACTTCTGCTGGGGGCCTCATGGGATTTAACTTCTCTTTCAGAAGAGTACATTAGAAGGTCTCAAAGTACAGTTACTGCCACGATCAAAAACACTTAGAATTTACAGAGCAAATCAGGGGCCTCAAACCTGAGCACGTATCTTCCTCCCCATTTTGCAGAGGAGTAAACTGAGTGGGGAAGTGACAGTAAAAAGAGGTGTAGGTCACTGGCTAAGTGGAGAATGACTTCCACCTTAATAACCCAGGGCTGCACCTGCGTACGTGCCACCAGGCTAGCGCTGGTGGAAAGGTGTAGTTACAGCAGTAGCTATAGCACAAGGTATTTCATTCAATATCTGCAACATGCCTGCTAATCAACTGACCCCAGAGAGTAGGGAGAAGTGCTTGGGTCAAGCTGCCAATTGTATCTCGTGATGGCACTGGAGAGCTTTGAGAAAACAGACAGGGTGACTGGGTCTGATGGAAACTATGTTAAAACCACATTGGCTTCCTGTGTGGTACACATGAACCACTGAGGACTATTACTTGTGAGCTGGATACATGCCCTTCAAATGCCCCTCGGCAGCCAGCCAGAGGGTAAACAATAGTAAGAGGAGCACAGCCAGGCTGCACCATAACCTCACGGCCTAGCCAGGAGCACAGGGCTGCAACGAGCCGTGCAATGCATGCAGCCGCATGCAGACTGATCACGTAGCTGAGCCCAGCCAGCCTGATGCTGCGTGGCTGAGGGCTGATGGTGAACTGCACAGGGATTGGACAAAGGATGTCAGCCGAGAATGGCGAGAATCTCTGCAAGACGGCAAGGGGGGAGGCTGGGGAGGGGCTACACATCAGCTCAGTCTTCAGGAACCAGTGCTGACAGGGTTGGAGAGACTGGTAAAGGAAGGCCCCAGGCCCCACAGTCTGCAGCTGCTTTAGGGTGGGCACTGGTGCCTGTAGAGTCTGCATGACTGTTTGCAGGTAGTCAGCAGATGGTATTTAGGGAATCAACTTCCCTAGAAGTGAGATCTGCAGTACTTCCAGGCATGGGAGATGCTCAAAAGCTAGGCGAGCCAGATACCCTAGCTACAGGGAAGTCCTGCTCAGTTTCACCCTTTCTGGAAGGACAGGCAGCAGCAGTCAGTTGGCACTTCTGCTAGGCAGCTCTCTGCCATGTCCAGATCCTGTGAGCTATAAGCTGCTCTGTAACAGCACACGCCATTCCACCCAGCTGCTGCTGAATTTCAGACTTGTATCTTTAAAGGACCCATCTACACTCTGCTCCCCACAGGGAGAACAAATAGATGTGTAATATAAAAGGGTCTGCCAACACAGACTCTGGGCTCTACAAGAGGGCATTTTGCCCAGGGGGAAATACCCACAGCTGGTGGATGGCCCAGATCAGAGAGGGAAACAGATACAGAGAAAGAGGACTGGGAGAAGGTAGTAACATTTAGAAAGAAATGGCAGCTAGAGCCATACAACATTGGCAGCTCTGTGAGAAGTTGAGATCTCTGGAATTGCACGGAAAGCTGAGTGGCAACCAGTGTTGCACAGGGATGTGGGCGCTGGCTCTGAGCTTTGGAGTGCTGGAAAGCAGGAGCAGAGTCCTTCAGCCTCAACCCATCCCTTGAGTCGCATGCAAGAGGAAGGTCATATGGCAAATGCAAGTGGGGACAGTCCCAGGGGGAAGGTGACAGGACAGTGCCAGGCTGGGCAGGGGTAGTGATGGTTACAGCCTGGGCCAAGCCGGCACTCTGCTCTCCTGGGGAGGGACTCGAGTTGTCCTCACACAAACGGGTTGCTCCAGGATTCCCCAGATAAGAGAACCGTCACACTAACCTTACCCTTGGCACCAGCCAGCCTCTCAGTCCTCAATCAATGCAGAATACTGTGTAAACATCAGCCCAGGTGAGGCGGAGACATTTTTTCGTACTAAGTGTCCTTGAAGTCCTTGCGTTTTTCAGGGTGGGACGGGTAGAGGGAACAACAGGACTTTCATTTAAATTACTCTGAAATGTGCTCCTGACATTTTGATCTGAATAAGGTTGTTGTGGGGAGTGGTTTCAGTCTGCTCTTATTCCTCATGGGGAATTGGCTCATCTGAGCAAGGAGCCAGCTAGCAAACTAATAACACCTCCTCTATTTAGTGCCCTCTGCACTGATCAGCTTTGAGGTAACAGGAGAAACATGTAGTGGGTGATGATAATTCAAGAGGAAGAGATGCAACCACTCCAGGGCTGTACATGCATTGACACCCCAAATTGTCAGCAGAGTCAAAAAACTGGCCCCAACTGCTTGAGTTAAAGGGTAACTGCCATGGCACAAGGCAATACCCAGGAGATGCTATAAAATCTCTCTGCTGCTGTTTCAGCCCCAAGGGGCAGCTTCGGCTGCACCATTCCCTTTTCAGATCCCAGCCAGAGCAGGCTGTCGGCTTTGGACTCGGCCTCTTGGCAGATACAGGGCTGTCTTCACTCACCCAGAGAGCCAGAGCATGGTGGGGTGAGTAGAAAACTGAGGGAAGAGCCCTGGAAGTGGAGAAGTAGGTCTCAGCATGGGGTTTGCAGTTAGTTTTTTACATTTCTATCGCAGTCTTGCTTTAGGGCTATATTTTTGCTGTGAAGCTGTAGGGAGTTTGCTTGCTCATAGTAACAGATTGAGCAGACACAGCCCAATCTTCCAAAAAACTGTGGAAGCTGCCAAACTTCTCAAGTTTCCAGTGACGTGCAGTGATATGTCCTCTGAACTCCTCATATCCCAAATGCTCACAAACTGGAAAATCTCACTCCCTCCTTCTCAGCACAGCTTCTAGGCAAGGCTTGCTCTTCTTCTTTCCCTTTACATTAAAAGCTCTTTCCAAGTTAGAATAAAGAAGAGAGATCTTGCAGGCACACAGGCTAGGGACAGGCATTCAAAAAGCCTGAGCCTGAATTGATTCAATGTTTGCGAGTTAGTCTAACCTGGCTAGGTTAAATCACTTTGTAACTGTACAGACATCGCAGAAGTGGCGGCACATGCTTGCAGTGGCTCAGGCTAGAAGGGCACTAGAGCAGCCCTCCTTTCCCTTTCACAGGACTGAGCTGAGTGGGGGGCATGGCAAGCCCAGACAGGACACTCTGATTAGGGAGGGATCCCTTCCCCTCTCCCCCACCCAAACCAACCCAGCAGAGAATTGATAACACACAGTGTTTATCACCCCTAACTCACCCCATTAAGAAAAGAGGGACATTACCAGCTACCTGTTGATTCTGCCTTTGTCCCATCTGCTACAGCATGGACCTAACCAGTAGGCCTGTGCAAAGCGGCTAGCATTCAATTCAGATTTGGCCAACTTGGGGAACAGTCATTCGATTCAATGATTTGAATCACTGTCCCGAATTGATTCAGCTGGATCCGATTTGGAGATTCGGCTGCTGCCAAATCAGCTGAATCTCTGAATCACACAGGCCCCATCCCCCCCCCACTCTCAGTGGCTGCCCCACCCACCCCAGCTGCCAGCTCTTTGCAAAGAAAAAAAAGCCCTACTCACTGGCTCCTTCCCAGCAGGGGGGGGGCAATCCCAACTGCCCTGCACTGCCCCCACACCATGAGCCCCCCTACCCCTGCTCGCTTCTCCTGCCCCCGCATGGCTACCCTGCCCAGTCCAGCTCCTGGCCCTTAAAACAAACAAGCAAACAAAAAAAGCCCTCACTCACCAGCTGCAGGAGCATCCAGAAACCCTGAGGCCGCTGCAGCAGCCAGTGAGTTCAGGGTTTTTTGTTTTTTTTTCTTTAAGGGTCAGAGGTTGGGCAGGGGGGCTGGGAGAGTGGTGGGGGTCAGAGGGGGCTTGTGGCAGAGCCCCCTCACAGTGTGGGGCAGTGGGGATCATGCCCCCGCACCCTGCAGCACCCAGCGAGTAGGGGCATTTTTTTTAAAGGGCCAGGGGTTTGAGTGGGGGGGGCAGCCATTGGGGGGGGGGGGGGGGGGGGCATGGCGCTTGACAGAGGTCCCACCATGGTCCCCTGCCCCCTACTTACCAGCTTGAAATCCGGGTCCAGCTCCCTGCTACCGGGAGGCAGGGACTGTCTGAATCATCGAAGCTCTCTGAATCAATTCGGAGAGCTTCGAATCCATCTGGACCTTTTAATTGGTCCCCTGATTCAATTCAGATTCAGAGATTTTTGGCCACCGAATCCGGCCGAATCTTCTCCAAATTGAATCACCACCCATATCTTCGCACAGCCCTACTAGCCAGCATGTGGTCTGCTAGCTAATGCTGAGAGGTGTTTATGTAAAGCAGAGAGGACAGGGAGGGGATGGTGGTGGGGGAGCAAGGGGAAGCCAGGCAGATGCTAGCAGTCTCTGCTGGAGCTTCAGCCAGGGAGCAGAGGAGAGGGGCCAGCCCTGCTGTGGAGCAGAGAGCCCTGCTGTGGAGCAGAGAGCCCTGCCCAGCCCAGAGAGCATGCGGGGACCTAGGGGAGTTTGGTTTAACTTAAACCAGCAAAGGGTCTGAGATAGACATTGCATAAACCAGTTTGACCCAAATCAGTTAAGTTTGATACTACCATCAACCAGGTTTCTCAAACCAGTTTCAGCCATTTCAAACTGGTTGATGTGCACTGAATCTGTTCTGTTGCAGACTTAAACCAGTTTCATATCACTTAAACCAGTTTATGTGTAATGTCTGTCCCTAGCCATAGTCTCTCCCTCCCACTCACCTTTTTTAATGTTAACTCACCAAGAACATTCAAACCAAGGTGTACAATTAATCTCTTTCTTCCCCTTTGCGCCTTCCTGACCCTTGTCATTACCTTCATCCTATTCTCCCTGCATGCACCATAAAAATTCATCCATGTAGCTTCCAACATGAAGATGGGAGGGAGAATGCACTGCCCCATCCTGCCCTGCGGCAGTGAACAGCCAGGCACTGGTCAGGTCTAAAAGTCCCCACCAAACTTCAGGTAACACTTTCTGCAACACAGTTCCACACTGCATCTCCCCATCCCTCAAAGTACCTTTCTGCTTTGCAGTTCACCCATGCATTCACTCATTTGATAGACACAAGAAGTCCTGCTGAGCTGGATTCAAGGGCAGAGCTCTTGGGGAATGAAGAGAAAAGAATTAACACTATTCCAGGCTAGGAAAAGCCTATTTCACTGCCTCTGTTTAAACAAGTGGCACTCACGTGTTTTGATCTCTCTTCCTCCTCACAGTCAGTGGTGACACTAGATGAAGGAAAACTTGTCCATATACAGAAGTGGGATGGAAAAGAAACAAACCTGGTCCGAGAACTGCAGGATGGGAAGTTAATTCTGGTAAGATGGCGGAAGTATCCCTACCATCAACTAACAACTGTTCCTGCTTTTCCATTCAGCCAAGATGTTTTCAATCAATAGACAAGTGTTAAGGCTTCTTGTCAGTAATAAGTTTAACTGCCTTACCACCCGGCTCATGTAGGAGTAATTGTAGCAGAAAGGAAGTGCTTTCTAACAGCATAACTGTATCCACACTTCGGGTTACACCAGTGTAATCATTTCAGTAAAATACCATAGCCCAACTTGCAACAGCTACAGCAAAACTTTAAAGGTTAGACCTGGCCTAGGAAGTGTTAAAGCATCCAAACAGCAGATTAAAACTCTGTCCTTCAGGGCTGGGGTAGAGGCTGAGGGACAGGTTCTGGGCATAAGATATCAAAGACTTGCTTGGTCCAGGGAACTGCATGTTAAACCTAACCGCAGCTGGCTGACCCCATGTGAGGGGCAGCTTAGCTGCAAGTCTTCTGACAAGGGACTCCCCCCAAATCCTCTCTTACCTCTTTTTTTCTTTCTTCCCCCAGACTTTAACCATGGGCACCACCGTCTGCACTCGCACATATGAAAAGGCAACATAGATGCCACCTCCTGCTCTCTGCCAATCGCCTGATGCCGAATTCATCACCGAATTGCCTGTTTTCTTCCCCTTGGCATTTTGTATAAAATTTAATATGACTTTGGTGCCCACTAGATCCAGCCCTCCTCTTCTATCCTGAGCTCTGTGGTATTGGGAGGTTGGTTGTTTTGTTTTTTGATTTTTTTTTTTTTTAATCTTGCAAGAACCCCTGTGAAAGATAATAAACAAAAGTTATTCCAGATTAGTATCTGATTTACTCTGGTAAAGACTTCTCTACATCAGCTTCCAGCACGGGACTCAACCACATAAACCAGTGCTCTGGGGCACTAACAATGGTCCCTGCCCCGGAAAATGTGGGGCAAGGCTTCCTGCCTGCAGGAAGGCTGGGGCTTACAAAACCCAGACAGAAACACAGAATAGTTTAAATGTGGCCCTCTGGAATCTCATAAGCACCTGGATGCTACTAAAGTAGCCCTGACTCCCTAGGGGAAGATAAAGGCAAGGGGTAGACACCTACCACTGGTTAGGTCAGGTTGGGTCAGGTCTGCACAACAAGCTTCACTAGGGTAGTAGAAGTTATATGCTGGCAAAGGTATTCTTAAGCATAGGGCACCAGTTTTGTCAGGATGGCTTATTCCTGTCCTACCAGTAAGAGTACATTTTTGCTGGTGTAACTGTATACACTAAGAATTTTTGCTGGCACAGGTTTTGTGGGCATAAGGCACAATTTGTTATGTCTTTGCCAGCAAAAAATTCTACAGCACACCTGGCCTTCAACTTTTTTAAAGGGACATACAGTTATTAAAACAACAATCCTGCTAGGGGGAGCAGTCAGAACAGCATAAATACTGGGCCTGGGTGAAGCAGCAAGTATTCGATTCAGATTGAGCCAATTCAGAGGGACAGCGATTCTATTTGGTGATTCGAGTCACTGTCCCAATTTGATTTGGCCAAATCGGATTAGAAGATTCAGCACCGATTTGGAAATTTGGTCAGACTAAACAGGCAGCAGTCCTCACCATGCTGGATACAGCTACCTCTAGCTCGGGGGTGGGCAAAACGCGGCCCAGGGGCCGCATACGGCCTGCCAGGCCATTCTATCTGGCCCGTGGGGCCCCTAAAATATTTAGAAAATTAATATTTATCTGCCCTGGGCCGCCTCTCATGCGGCCCTCGATGACTTGCCAAAACTCAATAAGCAGCTCTCTGCCCAAAATAATTGCCCACCCCTGCTCTAGCTGGTAAGTCCGTTGTGGTGGGCAGAGGGGGGAGGAAAGGGGTGTGTGGGGCAGATCAATGCCCCCACAGCATAGGAGGGATTGGGGCTGGAGCTGGGACAAGCTGCCCAGCTAGGGCAGGGGTATGCGGGACTTGAGAAGAGGGGGCTGCCACTGCATGCTGCCACGCGCTGTTGGTGTGGGAGGGCATAGGAGTGGGCATGTGCCCCCAGATCTCCGCATGGCAGGCTGGGCCAGGCTGCGCTTCAGATGGGCAGCAGAAGGCACTTGGAGCCTGGGCTATGCCCTCCTGCCGCTCACCCCACTGGGGCGGGGAGGCAAGGGATGGTGCTGCTGCAGACAAGCGGCAGAAGCCGGTCCAGCCTCCCCACACCTTCCAGACAAGCCTCAGCTTCGCCTTGTCATGCCCCAGCTGGGCAAGCAGCGGCAGGTCATGAGGGGGGAAGGCATGCACCCAGATTAGGGAGGAACCAGCAGCAGGGGCTATGAGGAATTTTATGGTGGCTGCAGCCCCCCTATAACCCCTGCTCCACTGATTTAGGTCAACCGTCTAAACCATTCTCATGCCAAGATGGGGGAAAAGGGGAACTCACACCATGGTGTCAGCATATAAGGCTTATATTCTGTCTTCCTGACTTCACTGGAGAGCTGATGTAGTTCTCTCTCAGCAGTCTGTTCTTTCAATTGAGGGCTGAATCCTGACACCCTGCCCTAGCTGAGGGAGTTCAGACTATTGTATCAAGCAAACAAATCACGTCAGGACACAACTTACATTGCAAGTTTTTCTGGAGCCCCAGGCAGGTGAGGGGCCCTTTAGCATGGTACAAACACTTAAAGCTTTCAGACAGGAGTGATTATTATAGCCCAACTAATCCTGTAAAGCTGCGTTTCTGTTTCAGCCTGTTAGCAGACCTAGTTGTATCACCATACTCCCAACTTTCCACTGTTTTATGCATTTACCTTATAGCACAGTCAATTGCCTAAAGAGCTTTAAAGACTGCTTCTCTCTAATGGGAGAGTTAAACAGGTGCATCAGAAAAGGTTTTAAATGAGTACAGATCACTGCCTCTCTCAGTCAGGCATTCTTTCCTCATCTGTGATATAATTTTATGGCCTGTGTTATGCAAGATCACACTAGAGGACCCAGATGGCCATTTCTGATTTAACGGCTGTGAATTCTGTTAGACCTTCAGGTAAGCTGTAGATTTGTTTTAGCACTCGAAGCACAAGACAGCATAAATCCATTTTTACAGGGCAGCCAGAAGCTGACACTTCCCTGTGGCTCATCTCTATGAACAAGCTAGAAAGAATGATTCAAAGCAGAGTTGTCTTCAGGGCTTTGCCCCAGATTAACTAACTCTTACTTTGGTTTAATGGTAAGCTACTGACATTTACCTTCAGTTTATCAGACTTGAGTTTAAACTAACCCAAGCTAAACCATTCTTAAATTAGTGCAAGTTGCACGTATAGACTAGGGCCCTTATTTTGCTGACCATGGTGAATCGCAAGAAATAAAATACTACAGTATCGCATACAACTTAGTAGTTTAGAGATTTATGTATTTTTTATAATGTACATAGCTAACAGTACCAACACAATTAACATTTACTGCAAGTCTCTCTTCAGCATAATTTAGTTGATTGCCACCATCTCACTGCTATTGCTTACAGGCAGAGGAGATGACACCGTGGGCTGGACTCGCATAAAAGCCATACCATTTTAAGTATAGTAATATAGATAGTTCAGCCCCTGTAGAACAGGTGCAGTTATACCAGTGCCTTGTATAAGGAAAGCCATTTCTCTATGGGAATGGAAACGAGCTCTAGCATATAAAGGATATTTATGCCAGTAAACTGTGTGCACACTAGCAGTTGTTCTATCAGCAGCTGAATCGGAGCCCTAACTGCACAATTATTATGATACAATCCCAGTGTGCAGAGAAGGCCTGATATGCAGAGAGGTGACTGCTATGCAAGCATCAGCAGGGAGGAGGTTCCACTAGACAATCAGCTCAGAAGATGTGAAATGGCTCCCCCTCAAATGCTCTGAAGGGACTGGTTGGAGAGACCAAACCTGAATGGCATAGCTCCATCTATTCACAGGCAACTGGATATAGCACTGATATCATGCATACTCCTGACAGGTGGTCCAAGGCTGTTCCAGAGAAACTGAGTGTACCATTGGCAGCTAACCCAAAGGACCTTAAAGCTACAGGATGAGAGTTGCTGATGAATGGGTGTAATCAATGTATTTTGGCAGGCACACCCATCAGCCCCTCAGTGGGAGAAAATGGCAGCTCACTTCTAGCTTAATAGTGGATAATTAATTTCAATGTCAGCATCTTTAACATCAACAACTGCATACTGCTTTGAGTAGAACAAAATCCCTTGTCCTTAGAACAAGCAGGTATCAACTGAGTTCTGCTCTCTCTGGCAGCTTACTCCAGAAGGCTAGAGCAGGGAGACAGGGAGTTCACCATGCCAAGGTCCCTTGCTAGAGACCACCCTTTCACTCTTTGTGCTTTTTCTTATGCTTCTTCTTTTTCTTCTTCTTCTGAGACTTGCTAGCTTTCTCTGAATGCTTGGCCCTCTTGCTGGCTGGCTGAGCCCCATCGCTGTCCGAGTCAGAGCTATTTGAACTGTTGGAATCAGAGGACTCCTTGCTCTTGTGTTTCTTTTTCTTCTTCTTTTCCTGTTGGCAAGATAGACAAAGCAGCTCATAGTCAGAAACTGTCACCTGAGTTCACTGATCAAGGCAGCGAGCTCCTTTTCAGAAGAATGCCTGAAGGTGTTCACCACATAGCCTGGTCTTGCCTAGCCAGGAGGAACGGTGAGGCTGCCGTTTTAGCTGCTCAGGAGCTAGCTAGTTCAGCTCTGTCAACCATACCAGTAAACATGGTCTGACAGTTACTACAATAGAGCCCGCTGGCAGGGGACTTCCCCTTCCTGCCCAACCCCAGGCAGAAGGACTGCTCCCTACAGAATACACCACAGTACTTTGGCTAGGTCAGAACACATCCCAGCCTTTTGGACATGTCTCTTGGGAGGCAATTCTGAACCTAGATCTCACTGCCAGGACATTTTTCTAGTTATTCAGCCTGTTTTCTTGTCTATCACTCCTGTAAAATGTTAACTCCTTGTTACCCCTCTTGGAACCTGAAAAGTACTGTGACCAACAGGCGGACTGGGAACAGGACAGGGGGCCTGTGGTGTGGGAATGATGGTACTATTCTACCCAAGCTCCAACTGCAATCCAAGAACACATGGGGATTTCTGCTAAAATGCTGGGAGGGAAATCATTTGTTTTGATGTTAGTGTTAAATCCCACACTCATCTGAGGTACGTACAACAGGTCAGCTTGGGGGCCCCTCCTCTTCTTGTTGGGGCACTGAAGCCTATTCATATCCTCTTAGCAAAACTCTGGAAAGCAGCACAGGGGAGGGCCCCATTTGAGAGGTTTGCTTCACAGCCAAAAAGGCCTGAAAATTCATTTCTTTTTAAACAAACCTCATACTGGCGCTCGTGGGGGCACTAAAGGGGAGCTGGGATGAAGAACAACCGTGCAGCAGCTGACTAACATATTTCTCACCATGCCTCCTTCATGCCATGTTAAATCATTCTTATTTCCGCTTGCTACTCATTATTCAACAGATTCTTCTGGTCAACAATATCCCTGGTGGCTTCTGGTGTAGCTAGTCTACCTAGCTCTTAGTATTTCCACATAATTCATTTCCATTCAACTCAGTCACTTCTAATTATCTCTATTTTTTGGCAATTCATTTTTTAGGGAATGCTTAAATAAGTTATCCAAAGTAAACACTTCCTAACTCTGTGAATACAGCCACTTAAAATGTGCTACTACAGCATCCCAGGACTTAAGGTAGGGACCACCCAGAGTGTTTCTGAAGAAATCCTACCTCACTCATACCTACCCAAAGTAAAACCTTATTTCCATGAAACTGTTCAACAAATACTTGTAGGGCAAAAAATTCCATCAGATAACCTATTTGGGTATCAGCCATAGATTGCATGGGGCCGTACAAAACTACTTTTAAAAACAGCTGCTAAAGGGATTGAAACTTTCACATTCTGAGGCTTAACACAGCTTTCTGACTGCTAGGCACTGGTTCTGCCACAACTAGTACCGCAATATTTCTTCTCCTGAAACAGAGAAGAAGGGGGAGCGACCGCATGTGTGTGGGGTGGAGGGAAGATGGGGAGAACAGGCTGCAAGGGGAAATGGCGAGGTGCAGAAACAGCATGGGGGTGGGGGGAATGGGGAGAGAGGACAGGGATAGGGAGCCCAAGCCACAGTAGCCACCGGTCCCCCTCCACCCTCATACTCAAATCTAAGACGAGGAACTTTTCCCTCCCTGTGTTAAGTGGGGGGAGGGAGGACCTTATCTTATAAAGCAAGTAACTATGGTAGCTAGCAGAAGCATAGATAAATTAAATCCAGCTGTCCCATCTGCCAGTCTTTTCCTCAATCTATCAGCCCCCACTGCCTCAGTTGATAACAATATCAAGACAGAGCAGACTGAGAGAAGTAATTTGAAACAGGTTGCAGCTTGAAGGAGCTGGCAGTGGATTTGGTTGGGGTCCTAGATCTGCTATTTTCCAAGGGACTGTCCACACACACAAGGTAGTTTAGCGAGGCTGGCTTAACATCATACTTTTAGCTGTATCAGTACAATGTGGGTGGAGGCCAGGCTACAGCTGGTGGAATAAGAAAGTTCCAAAAATGCCCAATTCAAAGCCAATCGAAGCAATAGAAATGGAATTGCTTCCTATGGCAATGCCACCTGCTGGCCAACCTGCTGAATGACAGCGGAGCTGGTTTAGGAGCTACCTGCTCACACTCCTACCTGGGCTGGTCAGCTTTTTGGGCAAAGCAGGTGAACATGTGGCTACCCTGGAACAGAGCTCTTTCCATTTCAACTTGCCTGCTTTCAAGTTCCCAAATTAAGCAGAATTTTAAAACGGATGGAACAGTTCCTCCCAGTATGCATGAAGAAACGGTTTGTGAAAAGTCCAGATCTTCATCTCTGCCCCACCTTTTCCCCCTCAAAAATATGGTGTTGCTTCTCTACAGCTCACAGTATACCCTTGGAGGTCAATATGGGCTGGAAGGTCTGACCCTCTAGCCCAGGGGTGGGCAATTATTTCAGCTGGAGGACCGCTTAAATGACTTCTGGTGACCTGTCGAGGGCTGCAAGGGTAGCCCCGTCCCTTGACAGGTGCCCCGCCCCATGATCACCCTCTTAGGACTGGAAGTCCCATACCTAGCCCCTGACCTTTGCCACTGGAAGCCCCACCCTGAAAATACTGCTTTTGGGACAGGGGTTATTGCCATTTGGGAAACAGAAAAAAAAAAAATCTTATATTAAAAATGAAACATCTACTATAACACATTTTAATTTTATTTAAAAAATATTTGTCCTGATTTACATGCATTTGCATAGTGTATGTAGAGGTGATTGCATAATAGCTTAAAATAAAGTCTTACTCTTGTATATGGTGTATGGGGGGAGGTTTGTGAGGGGTTGAAGAGATGTGGATGTGTGTAGGGTGGGGTGGATGTACCCCCCCCCCAGTGCACAGCCGTTGCTGCTGGTAGCAGCTGCAGGCCCTTGGGGTGCTCCTGGCTTGTGGCAGGCAAAGCCCCCCGGCAGTGCACAGCCCTGGCTGAATCCTGGGAGCAGCACATGGCAGCCCAACCCAGCCCATAGCACCTGCCTTCAAGCCACACTGGGCTGGCTCTGGGCTGGCTCTGTGCCACCACATGGGGCTCCTAGCACTACAGGTGGGAGCTGCCCATGGAGGCACAAAGCCTGCCCTGCCCAATGGTGCACGGTGCCAGCTTGGTATGGCTTAAAGGTATGCGCCAGTGGGCCAGGCCAAGCCAGGCAGAGTCTGTGCCAATATGCGCAGCTCCTGGGATTCAGCCACATGCCACTGAGGGGCTCAGCCTGCAGTGGGCCAAGAGCACCCCAAGGGCCTGCTGCTGGGAGTGGGGGCTGAGTGCCA